TACAAGTGGTCAATAAATATATGAAAAAATGCTCATCATCACCAGCCATCAGGGAAATGCAAATCAAAACCACAATGAGATATCACCTCACCCCTGTCAGAATGGCTAAAATCCAAAACACAGAGAGTAACAAATGCTGGTAAAGATATGGACAAAGAGGAGCACATATACACTGTTGGTGGGGATGTAAATTTGTGCAGCCACTGTGAAAACAGTGTGGAGATTTCTTCAAAAACTAGGAATAGACTTGCCATAGGATCCAGCAAGCCCACTACTGGGTATGTACCCAAAAGACTTGAACACATTGTATCGAAGAGACACCTGCATCACCATGTCCATGGCAGCACTGTTCACAATAGCCAAAAAGGTATCTATCATCAAATGAATGGATGAAGAAAATGTGGTATAGATAAACAATGGACTAGTATTCAACTATAAAAAGAATGAAATTCTACCATTTGCAGCAAAATGGATGCAACTGGAGGACATCATGTTGAGTGAATTAAGCTGGACAGTGAAAGACAAATACTGCATGTTCTCCCTTATATGTGGGAGCTAAAGTTTAGAACACAGACAAAAAAAAAAAAAAAAAGAAAAAAAAAAGAAAAAAAAGAAAAATCAACGTCTGTGTGTATCAGTATTGCTACAAATATAGTTTTGTAAAACTTTCTTTTATACTTTTGTGAAACCAATGGTGAAGAAGGTTATACTATTATAGTTTTAATGATCTGTGAATCCTTTAAAATTTACTGTATATGAATGAAATGGTCATTTTTCCATTCAACTATTATTTATAGCCATTGTCTATATTCCCACGAAACTAGGGTCTTTTTGCTTTTTACTTGTTAAGTTTCTTATTAGGTGAAGTATTAAGCCTTTTTACTGTAATGTAAATTTAAGATTTGCTATCTCAAAAACTAAAAAAAAAAAGGTAGGTGGGAAAGAGGACAGGAGGGAGGAAGAGAGGAAGGGAATATCATTTATGTTCTTAGAATTGTATCTACAAGTCACATTGAATCTGTCAAAAATTAATTAAAAATAAAAACATTTTTTAAAAAGAGCATTGCTAAATATATGGGCATGTTTTGACATAACCACAATACCACTATCACACTTATCAAACTAACAATGTGTAATCGATATCATCTAGAACACAGTCCAAATTCAAATTCCTTTCCTGGTTTTCGGAGTGCTCAGGTCAGGATCTCGGCAAGGCCATGCACTTTATTGGGCAGGTTAGGGTTGGAGAAGGGGCCTAGGGTTCGACAGCCCAGGGCCTCTGAGGCGGGGAGGATGAACTGCAGGAAAGGCCTCTGAGCAGTGTTGCCTGCATAATGGTCTATAAGGCACTGACCATAATTGGAATAATTTTTCATTCCTCTTTACCTGTGAAAGAAGGCCTTCTTAACTGTGATTCCATGTATAATTGAAATTTGAGGGATCCCAGGATTTGTTATATTTGCAGTTGTGGCTTCCAGAAGAACCAATCTACCTCCTCTATCCCTTCTTACTCCAAAAATATCACAAAACACCATTCCCAAGTCGAAAAGAAATTGTCATTGCTTTTGCTGACAATCTTTCACATAATTGGCTGTTCGCTGTTCCCTCCTATTTCAAAGCTGTGTTAGGTGTAATCTCAATCCCTTTACCTACTACTTTATTCTCAATGAAGCAGACACTATGTTTGATAGTCCTGAACTTATTCTGTGCTGACATTAATGATTCCTGGAGTTGCTAACAATATCGCAATATATGTCAGCACCTCGGGTGTTGATAAACTTAACCTATACAAGTCAATTCTAACGCACGCTTAAAGCATTGTGCAACTCACCTGTCCAGTAATATTTCACCATCTGTGGATCCTAGCGAAAGATGGGTCTAATTCAAAGGGTTTGCTTCATTTTCTTTGGCTTTGGAGACTAAAGAAATTGGCAATAAACAGTGGTGGGGGCTGCTTCTGTCAACGCACAGTGGGAGTCAAGGAAGAAGCTTTCACTCCCTCCTACAGCTCTTCCCAGCAGACTTCAAACACAAGATTTCATCCAATGGGGAGCCCTCCAAACTCCTAATCGCCAACCCAGTGAGAGCTTCAAGTTGCTGGGAATTTCATAAGGCAAAATTCCCCAGGGAGTTTCAACAGCGGTTCTAAAGGAGCCAAAACCCCTCTAGCTCTTTGGCCCAACTCAAAAGCCCAGCTGCAGAATAGCCTCCCACACTCAATGCTTCTACCACTGGAGGTTCAACAGCTGTGTTGTTCTTCTCAGTGTCAACTCCTGTCCATTCAGGGAACTCTACAAAGTGAGGGTGGGCTAGATGGGGGCAGGGTTGGGGACCAAATACGATCACCAGCACTGTCACCACCAGCCCACACATTTCTCTAGCCCTCTATGGTTGCAAAGGATGTTCATGAATGTAATGACCTTGATCATCATAGTGACCCTGGAAGGTAGAGAATATAGGATGTCTTTCACTGTTTTACACATAAGCAGACACTGAAGCTCACTTTAATTAAGTGCCTTTCCACTGTCCTACACTTCCTAGAGTATCCATCTTTGCCCTCTAGTACAAGGTGTTGTCTTTTTCCCTGTGTGGTCTTACTATAGGTGTAGCTTTGAAGACAGTCTTAACTGGGTTTTTTAAACTACTAGACCCAACTCACTTGTGTACCAAGTAATTATACTTCAGTCTTCAGGGAGCCTGAGTGAACCTGATGTAGCCCAGGCCAGCCGACTTCTCAAATGATCTAGTAGTTTTGCTTTAGTCCCATAAAATTTTTGTCTTTTTCTGTGTGCTTATTTTTTTTTTTTCTGTGTGCTTATTGACATGAAAATGATGGTACCCATTGCTTAAAAAGAAACTGTGTTCCTAAATTTGTATTTAGGAAATGCATGAAGTTTGTATACCTTAAATAAAATGTTTCTGGGAAAAAATATGATAGGTAGGTGAGGTGATAGGCTAATTGGCTTGATTTAATCTTTATTTAAAAATCTTTATTTAAAATTTCACATTGTTCCTCATAATATAAATAATTCTCAACTTGAAGTAAAACATTCACATCAACATGAAAAATTAAAAAAAAGGAAAGTGTGAAAATACTCCCTCTTTCTAATGAACTGAATATCTAAAAGCCAGTCAGTATACTTGGCTTTGAGAAGTCAGGTTCATCAACCATAAGTAGACAATAGAATTTAATTAGCAATTTTAAGTGAATTTTAAAACTCTACAGCATTTCCCCCAGGGAGGTTCTCATAGCATGCACTGTGAGATGAAGTGCTTATGTGAAAAACTTTATGGTCAGTTGTCACAAAGCAACTTCTTGTTCCTTTTGCCTGTGTCCTCTGATGGAATAATTCATCTCCATCTCCCCTATCCCCTAGTATATTTAGACCACAAGCCCTGACCTACACTCTACTCAACGGTATTTAGCCCTGAGATAAAATGAGTCAGTCCCATTGTATGGAGTAATTTCTTTGTTTATATGGATTAGCTCACATCATTACTCTTACTTGAAGTATTATGAAAAATTTTCTTTTCTCCATGGTTTTGTTTTTATTAGGTTTTCGATTTTGCTATTCTTGACTCAGGTCCAACAGTCAATGAATGGAAACATGGCCTTAGGCAAAATTAAGATGTTCGCTAAAATACCTATCAATCTCTTCTATCTTCCTATGTTCCAGTCTCTTGTCTTAACAGCCAATACTAGTAGATCTCAGGGACCTGTACTCAGCCTCATACACTTTCTGTCTTCACTTGTTTCTCACCTGAGAAAGTCAACTCACACTAAGGCATATGATTATTTAATCCGGGTCTCAGCTAACATTTATAAAACCACTTCTTACATGCAGACAAGATTCTGGGAGCAGAGAAGTATAATAGCAGAGAGGTGGTTTTGTATCAGTTTTTCTCATGACACCATATGGATGATTCTGTTGCATGAGGAACCAGCTAATAACCCACGGGGATAAAGTTGTATTGGTTAGGAACCTTTCCATCCAAGTGACAGAAAATCAACCCAACTGGCTAAAGCAAAAAAGGTAATGTGTTTTCTCACGAAACTGAAAAGTCTATCAATATATTTGAATCATGGCAGGATCCAAAGTCTCAAATGAGGTCATCAGGACCAGTGTCCCTCAACACTTGGTACTGCTTTCTTCACACAGATGTCCCTCCCCCTTCCTTGTGGCCAAATGTCTGCCAGCAACTTCCAGGTACATCTTCACCCTTCCAACTCCAGAAGTAAAGAGTTTGAACCTTATCCATTTGCTTAAAGCCAAGTCTACAATTAATTATGTTTGGATTTATTTGGTTCCAATCTACATATTCAAGCAAACTCTTTGGCCAAGGGAAAGTAATATTCTGAGTGGCCAGGTCTGGGTCTTGTGTCTAATCCTGGAGTAACAGATGGATTGCATATGGACTACAAGTGGAATAAGAACTGCTTTTTTAAAGCAAAATCAAGATACTAGGAGGGCCTAAAACAATTGTCCACTCCAGTTTGTAATGAAAACATTGAGATGGTCAGTCTAGGAAGGGTATGGACAAACTGGTAACTCACTTTGGGATAGACAAAAAAAAAAAAAGATGCTTGATAGTTAATTTTATATACCACTTTCAACATTCCAAATTAGCTCAGTTGGTGAAGCCCAAGAGTCTTACTTGTACATACACTTTGCATTAAGGGATGCCCAGGTAGCTGGCAAAATATAATTTCTGGAAGTATCTGTATAGGTGTTTATGCAAAAGATTAGCATTTAAATCAGTAGACTAATAAAGAAGATTGGGTGAATGTCATACAATCCATTGAGGGCTCGAACAGAAAAACAAGGCAAAGGAGGGGAGAATTTGCTCTTTCTCTCCGAGCTGGGGCATTTGTCTTCTCGTGCATTGAAGCTCCTGGTTCTTGGGCTTTTGGGTTCTGGGAATTATTTCAGGATACCCTGCCCATGCCAGTTCTCAGGCCTTTGGACTCAAACTGATTTATGTCTTTCCTCGTTCTCCAGTTTGCAGATGGTGTATCATGGGACTTTGTGGCTACCGTAATCGGTGAGTCAATTCCCGTATTAAGTATCTTCCTCTCTCTCTCTCTCTCTCTTTCTCTCTTTCTCTTTCTCTTTCTCTTTCTCTTTCTCTTTCTCTTTCTCTTTCTCTCTCTGATAGGTTCTGTTTCTCTGGATAATCCTAATACAATGTGTTTAGCAGACCTCTCCATTTTCAATGTCCTTGATGTCATAAATATTATCCTGATCTAATATCTGAGAACTTGTTCTAAATTTGTGGTGAGGAAAACAAGTACAGAGAGGTGGGGGGAGGAGAAGGAGGGGATCCCTGTGAAAGTTAACTTATAAGTGATCACAGTACCAGACTGCAACACAAAGACACCATGTATTCAAGAACATGAGGCTGGTTTGAGAAGACATCTCCCATTTCAGAGACAACCTAACTAAGACTGTAAGAGTGATCATATCAACAAAGTGCTGATGTAAACTGTGATGAAGGCACAGGAAAATGGCAAGAATGTTCTCCAGACTCATGTCAGGTCAGTCCTAGTTGGAGAAGCCCATGTAAAAAAGCACAGTTTTGTGTGCAGTTCTAAATCCAGACATACCCTCACCCTTCCTAGATGGTCAGTCTGAGCACATCTCTGTTCATGGGGATACGGTAGTGTGCCGCTTTCCCTGGGTTGTGTGAGGGCTGGGTAAGATATCACATGTGAAAAGCTTAGCTGCATCCAAAAGAAGTGGTAGCTGATATTAGTATTTTAGAAACTTCCCTGGTAAGTTCTAAGAAGCTGTTTCAGGTAGAACATATCTCTGATTCTTGGAAGAACTACTTAGGGTTGGCGCTATGGGGTAGCAGGTAAAGCTGCTGCCTGCAGTGCTGGCATCCCACATGGGTGCCAGTTCAAGTCCTGGCTGCCCCACTTCTGATCCAGCTCTCTGCTATGGCCTGGGAAAGCAGTGGAAGATGGCTCAAGTGCTTGGGCCCCTGCACCCTTGTGGGAGACCAGGAAGAAATTCGTGGCTCCTGGCTTTGGATCAGTACAGTTCCAGCCATTGCAGCCTTCTGGGGAGTGAACCAGTGGATGGAAGACCTCTCTTTCTCTCTCTCTGCCTCTCTAACTCTGACTTCCAAATAAATTAAATCTTTTTTTAAAAAAAGAACTACTTGAGTATTACTCCTTTGGGGGTTTCTAGTTTTAAGGTAAATGACCAGTCATTGGAAGATATTCTTTTTTCTTCTTTTTTTAAGATTTATTTGAAAGGCAGAGCAGCAGAGGTGGATAGGGAGGTGTGTGTGTGTGTGTGTGTGTGTGTGTGTGGAATACCAGCATTGCAAGCTACAGCTTGACCTGCTACACCACGATGCCAGCCCCATAGAGGACAGTCTTGATTTGGAGCATAGATGGTGGTGTTGGGTGTCATCAGGCTGTGGTCCCCACCCACCACCAGCCAAATCAATTTGCTGAACTAAGTTTACTTGAGGAGAAGAAATCCTCCCAGAGGAAAAAAGAGAGTAAGTCAGACTGACTAACTAATATGTTGGTGAGAGCTATCTCTAATGGAGGCCATGTGACAAGGAAGAACCACTGATCAGTAGAGAAGGGTAATGTGGATTGATGATCCCCAAGTTAATGCCAGTGACCTCCAGTTCAATACAATTGAGTGCCTTAAAGAATATGCGAGCGTATGTGTTCTGAGAGAACCTAAAACAAGACTCAAGCCCTAGACAGTTCTAGTCTGAGCACTTGGGGTCTAGCCTAGCACAGAAAGAAGAATGACTTTCCTTCATATCTCAAGGAGGCAGTAACAAGACGAGGCTGGACTGGGTAGAAATAGGGGTCAACCATAGTCCTTACTTTGCATGACTATCAGCAGGATCAAAACAGAACAGAAGAATAAGACTTGCCTCGAATCTCATCTTACCCTCTGTCTTTAGCACTTGAGGTCAGATACGGCACATCTTTCAGAAAGGGCGAGGCATGTTTGACCTTCAGATAGACCAGAAGGCAAATTTGGAAGTGACTACCAAATGACATCTAATCAACACAGAACAAAAGTCCTTGATGGGTCTCTAATTGCAGTGGTGACATTAATAATCATTATCAGTTATAAAAACAGGCTTGAGGGCTGTTGACAGAAGTGAACATTCCCAATGCTGGGCTGGCAGTGTTGCTGATAAATAATCTCAGCCTCTGAGACGTCTGCTAATTAGAAGGGAATGGCTTCCAACTTTCCATTGCTTCTTTGACCCATGCATGCCACGTAAATGAGAAGTTGGAAAAGACAGAAAGCTGAAATTCCTGTGCTGGAACGAGATTTAGAAACCTCAGGGAAGAACTGAGATGAAAAACAAACTTGATGTTGGTCAAAGAATCTTCCTCTTGGAGCTATCTGACAATAGGTCTAGAGGTTTCTCTGTTGTCCTTTAATTACTCACAGAGTGCTGAGTTAAGTATTGAATTAAGCAGTAAGTAAGTATGGGATTAAGCAGCAAAGAGAACAAGGTTGAATCTTGACCTTTCTGCCCTCGCTGGTCTGACACTGATCCCCACCTCACAAGCTTGAAAGTTTGGAACCAGGGATTGGAGGAAAGATAAACCAAGAGCAGAGGATTATGGGAGAAGTCAGGAAAATACTCAGATATGGTTCCCAAACTTGGCTGCACCTTGGAGTAAAATGGCAGCCTTAAAAACACTGAAGCCTAGGTCCTACCTCGAAAGATTCTCATTTCAATGGCGTAGCGTGTGGCCTGGGCATCAGGAATTTATTAACCTCCGTCACTAGGGGCTGCAGCCAAGACTGAGAGCCATTGCTTTTAGTTGTTTGTATCTAACCTGGAACAGAGAGGGGGAAGTAATTTGTAGTCATCTCCTATCTAGTAAGATTCCTTAATGGCCGTGCTTGTTAACTTTAGATGAACATTAGAATCACCTAGGGATCTCTCAAAATATAATGCTGGGGCCACAATGCAGCTGAATTAATTCAAGATCTCGGAGAATGGGGTATGAGGTTTGGCATTTTAAAACGTTGATTTGCCTATGAGCAGGGATTGTGCGCCACTGCTAAAGCATCTTGGAGTATGAAGTCATCTTTCCATTAGTTTCTGGACACTGTCATTCCCAGGCAAGTGCCCTTGGGTTAGCCACTTAATACAGCAGCATCCACAGGTCATGTGGACTTTACCTGAGAGCAGGGTTTCTTTCAGTGAAATCAATTCACACTTTCCCCTTCATTAAGTAGCGTTAGGTACACACTCTGTCTAAGATTATGTTGACATTATGGAGTCAGATACCTTTTTATTATGGGAGGCTGTCCTATGCATTGCAGGAAGTTGAGTAGCACCCTTGGCCTCTTATTACTAGGTGCTAGTAGTAGCCCCACCCAGTTATACCAAATAAAATATCTCCTGACATTGCCAAATACATCTGGAGGACAAAATCCACCCCCAGTTGAGAAGCACTGTCGCTGGTAGTGAGGATGCATGAGCAATATCTGTTCTCTGCACTCAAGAATCTGACAGTTGGTGGTGAGGAGAGACCCACTGAATAGTTAGTTTTGATGCCCCATGGAAGTATAGTGATGGAGAGTTCTACCACAAGGCATTCTGGGTGCAGAACGACAATCAGCCAGGGAGAGTCTTCTTGGCTGAGTCTTCATAAATCTGTACAAGTTAGCCAAGTGAAGGGGAGGTGGAGTGCATTGGAGCCCTCCAAGAAAGGATGCAGAAGCAAAGCAACCCAGAGAAGCAATAGCTTTGTGTGGGTGTGGGGAGGGGAGGCATCTTGCTCAGCCACAAAGCAGTGGTAGGCAGAGGGGACTTGGAGACATCAGCAGAACTTCATAAGGTTTCTCAGCTGTTCTGTTCTAGGGAACCAGGTGTCAGAGGGAGGTCTGAGGCTGGGGAGAAACATGGTCACGTGTGCATTGTAAATAGGTCAACTACACTGCCTTGAAAACTCAGAAGGCTGCCTGACATGGTCCAGCCTAACAACTCAGCCATTGTATGACTTGTGCTCATATAATAAGCTCTCTGATCTTGAGGGAAGTAGATTCTGGGATTTTATCAGATGATAGAAAAGGCCCTCTTCATTTTAGGATTGATGAGTTTTTTCTCCTTGGCTAACCCACACCACATCTGTAAGCATAAAAATTTCCTGCTACAAAGTTTGGATAACTAAAGAGAGGACGGGTGGGGTCTGAACTGATGACACTTATATTTGAAGATGGACTGGAAGCAGGGAACATAGGAAGTCTGTTACTCAAAAATATCTTCCTTCCCAGACCTTTAGAGATTTTTTTAATTGAGTTCCATCTCTAAAATGAATTGTTTTATCTTAGAACATAAGATCCTCAACAAGTTGAGATCACCATTCTGGGAATAGAAAATTACCCCAAGACAGAAAGGAGGAAGGAGGCACATTTTATTTTTCAGAAGACTTAGATGGACTAGATGGGGGTGGGGTGGGAGAGATCTTACAAAAAAACTAGACAGTGAAGGGTTGGGCACAGGTTCAGAAATGGAGGTGGGGGACAATCAAAAGAAAGCATAACCTATATCATGATTTTTTTCTAGGGTCCTTGTGTAAACCAGGGTTTTGTGGTTGGGTTCCAAAGGTCATGGAAACCCTTTTGTGAGAGTAGGAAAACCAATCCTTCTTATGAAGCAAGAATGCTTGAGCGGAAAGGAAGCCACGCTGTGGCTTTGGTTACATCTTTTGCAATTGCTCATCCAACAGTCGAAATCTTGTGTGTTTTTTTTTTTACATCCCACTGGTGATATTTTGCTTATTAAAGAATCTTATGTCAAGCGGACAATAGCTTCAAAGTCAAGAGAAGGTGGGGCTTGAGGGAGTCAGAAGAGGAGTTCAAGGCTATGCTTGGAAAAAAAAAAAAAAAGCCTAAGAAGACAGCAACTTTTTCTGACACAAGGCCATGGCCAGAAGAAGTTCTGTTTCATAGAATACTTGCATTGGATTCAATATAAAAACATGTACCTAGTTTCCCCTGCAGTCTTAAGTTCCCTTCAGCTGCAAACGTTCCAGG